TGGTATAACTCGTCCAATTAAAAATCCCTTATATCGATCGAATCATCCAATTAAAAAGTATCTCTCTCTCTCGCTTCTTGAATACTTCTTTTTCTTTTTCGCTCTCTCTCTCTCTCTCTCTTTCTAACAAAGTTTTATGTTTTCTTTCGAGACGAGCCGTTGCAATTTGTAGGAGTTCGAATTAGATATTAATGAAACATAATGAGAATTTTATTGAAATATTTGTTGACGCGGAATATATCGCGGGATAATCGCAAATTTTAACGAGTGACTTATGCGGTGAACGTGTGAAAAAAACAAATTGTAAAACTATACGATTACACGAGGAAGCATTGATTATCCGTTGCATACAAATTAAATTAAATACCGAATTATAGTTTACGACAAATTTTTAAGAATAAACGGTCGTAAAATTAAAGAGGCGAAAAAAGAATACGAGAACAGCTTGTATGCAGCCACCCTTGTGGCACACAAATTTCACGTTATTTCGCGATAACGCATATGTATCATCAGCAGCCATTAATTAGTAATCTGTCATTCTCTCTTGTCGTTAATAGACACAAGAATGATTAAGGAAGCTATATAATAGAAAGAGATATGGAGGATATCATCCATCATAGCGGTTTGTTCGTATGATTGAAGATGATACTATGCAAAAATGAAATTATGATCGTAATATTTTTTTTCAACATACATTTAACAAATTATAGATGGCCATTTAAATCTCTTTCAAGTGTCGCGGCGGTATATCTGTAACGAAGCTAGGAATAAAGTGAGCGTTTTTTTATTTGAAAACTCAGCGTACCCTCGACATGTTGTAATTAACAGGCGACAATTTTCCTTCAATTTCTGCTGGTAAAAGGCGGAATCTGCGTTTTTACTGCCTCGTTAAAAATGTTCGCCTGACAACGTTGAAATAATCGGACCATGAATTATAATAATTGAATTAACATAAAAAATTATAATTTATTTTATATAAGAGAAACGTGTTGAGAAACGTGGCAAAGTGTTTTTTATCATCGGTTATAATTATAATTAGTCTCTAATACACAGGAAAAGTAATTGCAATTATCGCGAATGTAAAATCTTTTCTTTAATTTTCCGTTTTTGAAAAAGGAGAACTTACTTTTTTTTAAGAAATGCTACGTGTGCGAATGTATAAAAAAATATTAAAGAAAATTTAATATTTACAGAATAATTTCAGAGTACATTATAAAATGAGCGAAAGTGAAATTTTGAATGCAATTGCAGAGATTGCTCTCCTGTTTTTATCGTTTTACGAATGCGCAAGGCTCAGTGACATATAATTTCGAGAAAGTTTCTTATTATTTATATATATATATATATATATATATATATATATATATATATATATCAATGAAGGAACTATCTCAAAGATATTCCTTCTTCCTTAATCCGTCCCTACTTCGTTCTTTCTTAAGAACAGCGCTTCCAAAATCTTGTTATTTTCCATTATTATTGACTCTTGTACTGGCGACGCCGGTTTCGGTACTTTTTCGATCCCCTATCTACTTTAAGAAATAATGTCTAAGATTTGCGACTCTTCTGGCAAGTGAAACTTTGTTACATAAAGTTCTCTAGTATCCGAAAATAATTCTCGGTAGTTTATTAGAAGTTTTTACGGTTACCCAAACTGTATGAACTTTTTACTTTTCCACTGCAAAACTTTGACCTCGACATATACATTTTCACATCTGCTTTTATATGCATAAAAATGTCTGCTACTCTTTTCATAATAATTGCTTCTTTTGAATTCACTTGCTTAATAAATATGCATGTAGTATCGAAATCAGCGTCTTTACACATTCCTCGAACGCCAGGTACTGTCCCAGTCACCTAATTCTAACACCAAATTATGCAGAATAACATTAGCTTAAGTACAATTCTATAATATAGCTGTAAATCTTTAGATACGGAAGCATATGCATCGGACGTGAATGTTTATGTGTGGTATATATGTCTTTCGCACGCGTATTCATATAATTCATTCATTCGATCATTACTGGATACTCTTCATGAAGGTCGAATGGTTGTCACGCAATGCGATCGATCGTATGAAATAGTATGCACGTCTGTTAACGAGAACAAGGAAAAATGTTTAAGATGCAGGCTATCCACAAATGGTTGTAATACTCCATGTCATTTATATACACCGCTTTAATTACCGAAACATAAATTTACCCTCTTGTTTCGTGTAATGTAACACACTAGTAAAATTAAATGTAATTTGCGTAAAAGAGAGAAAGAGAGAAAAAAAGAAAAAAACTTCAATACTAAAATTGGATTAATAACTATTACGCGGCTTATAACACATAACACGAATTTAAAAGTCTCATAAATCATACGTTTTCGATGCATATAAATGACATTTTAATTATCTATGGTCACGATACAGTTCTATTATGCTACTACGGTATAGGTAATGTATACTAATTATTACTATACGACGTACATATCAACGATCACTAGTCTTGTCGCTTTCCACCTTACTGGTAGCTGCACTGTAACGTACGATGACAGTTAGAAAAATTTTGGGCACGCACCATATACGGCGTGACACGTGCATTTTCGCGTAACATTCTACGGATCATTGTATGTATCTGCAGCGGTCGGCACGAAGATTATCGGAGGGATTTGTCGATTTTTTTTTTCTAGGAAATGCCCCTGTCTCTCGGAAGAAAATCCACGAGATAAAATTCCCGTTGTTATTTCGCTTCGCGAGGGAGCGTGTAGAAAATGTAACAAGAGTACAAGCTGCGGAGATATTGTCGGTGTAATACTGTCTCTCACGTGACGGCGCGGATTACGTCGCGAGGTATCGATTTTTCTACGTTCACGCGTGATTGAATGGAATATATTGGCCCGTGAAATATATCGCTTCAACGAGTGCGTCCCCCGGATGGCATTAATATTGGGACAACGATAAGCGCCGCCGATTTTGGAAGTCCTTGTATTTATGACGGTTAACCGATTGTACCGATCGATACACGAACGGATAATCCCTTAATCGATTCGAAGATGCATTAAGTGAAGGTGATTCGGACAATCGTCAATGTTGATAGGAAACCTTGCAAAATGGCAAATATTTGCTCTATATACGTCGCATTTGCATGAATGATGCGAGAATGTGCGATCATAATAATGGTGAATGAGAGTGCTCGTCGATATTCTATTATGCCAGGAACTAAGAGAGTGCGGTTCACATTCTTATGCAGATATTCGAGATCGTTTTAAAAATAAAGTCTCTTAGGATGTTATATAGTTCATATTATGCGACTTAAGACTTGAGATCGCCTTATATGTCACGATTATATATTTATATATAGTATCTTAAGAGTGCTTCTTAAGACCATCTTGAATATAGAATTCGAGTTTATGAATACCGCTTTAAGAATTACGATCTTCCCTATATACCACGTATTTATTTGTTTGCACGAATCACGCAAAATGTACATTTACATCGGCGGTTAATTGCCGTTCAATTTCTCCATCTTGTCGCTCTAATAGTCGCGCATCCAAAGACCCATTTTGTGCTTTTCGCGAGCTCTCGTGACGCTAGTTCTTCTAGGTACGCATCACGTACATTTTATTCTGCGATGTGGATCTTTGCGTAGATCCCAGGAAACGTCGGGCCATTCACTGGCGCAGTTTCTACCTCGGATCGTTTTTACATTCATATACATCACACACATTACACGTACACACACCACATTCATTTTTGCCCACTCTCAGCGCGATCCGCAAGTATTTTCGTTCTGGTTCTTTACAGGTGTTCACGGGAGCGATGAATTTCGATGTTTTACGAAATGCGAGTTTCCGCGAGTGTCTGCGCGACGTATGTTCTTATCGCTATAATGTGACTTGTCATTATGCCCTTTGCAATTCTCAGGTAAACGCGCAAACAATGATATTCGATGCAATTATAATTTGCAATTATAATTTTTGACAATATGAAACGCATGTAAGAAAAATTTAAAAAATAATAAATAAAATAATTAAGCTAAATAATATTTGATGAAATACGATAATTAAATATTATTAATAAAATAATTAACAAATGATGAAATAAAATTTTTTTACAAATAATACTGTCGTGTTTTGCAGGCATATTTTCACAACACTTTTCCACGTCGCGCAGACACACAGCAGTAGATTCTAACAATAATAGGTACTACCTTAAAGCGTACATCTACGAATAAAGCACCATCTATAATATTACGTCTAAAATGTTTATTAAATGAGCTTTTGGTGGATCTCGAGATCAATCATCGTCAATCACGATAAATCGATCGTCACCGAAGCGAACGTCCCTTGTCCCTTAGAAATATTGCTTGGCCAAGCGTTAGTGGTGTTACACTTAAATTGACTAGTACCGTTTTGTAACGTATATATCTCGTACAACCATTTTAGAGGCTGCGCGCCTCTTTAACAACCTCGGTAAAAGAGGGTGAGAACAAAACCATCGTCGCCCTCTTCGATAGCAAAGCTTGACTTCCTTTTGGTGTCGCGCATCATATTGACTATGTATACGTGTCCTTTCGTGGCACGATCTTAATTTTAACGCCAAGTATTATTTAATTCACAATATCTCGCCCGCTTTCCAGTCGGTCTACGTATCACGCGCACTCGACATTCGAAATACGTGCTACGTATATAATAAATTCGAAGCACGCGAAGAATCAATTGTCAAGAATGTATCAAATCCCCAAACCGATCGAGACGCTAAAGTACCGACGTTGTAGATGAAAGACTCCTTTTCGGCGTGCGCAAATCTATCACTGATGAAATAAAAATACGAATTTAGATTTTTAGTGATTAAATATTAATATCGTTGCGCTCAATGAAACATCGATGCCAATCGCAAAAATGACTCGCAAAAAACGAAGTGAATATAATTTACTTTACAATTTCACCCAACCTCCGAATCTCGAGTACGCTTTACAGAGATTTTCGTGTCCTCACTTGATCATGATACTCACTGCCGGGGGTCCCTGCGAGATAGCGTTTTCCTTAGAGGCATCTTCGACCTCCTTGAGCTTCTCCTCGGCCTTACGTTCCTTCAAGGCCTTGAGCAGCTTCCACTTGGACCCGGGCGGGCCAGGACTCACCTGGCCCTCCTTCAATGTCGTGTCCGAGCTTCCGCAGGACGAGGAGTCGATCTTGATCTTCGGTAGACTCAAGGTCGCCGTGGTAGCCGTCTCGGCGCTACCGGCTCCGTCGCGCTCGAGGCCTTCAAGGACAGTGCTTTCAGAATCCCAAGCTCCCGGGATGCTGACCGACACTTCGCTAGGTGGTACACTTACGCTACCTTCGCGGGATAGGGAATCCGAGCCCTGCGGCATCTTCTCGCTATGACGTAGCGTCGAACCGTTGGAACTTCGTCGCGATTGCTGTTCTTCGAGATCCTTCGGCAGCTCCTCCTCTTCTTCCTCCTCATCCATTGACTGTCCGGGACTGTCCGGGCCGGACGTCTCGCCGGACGAACCCTCCTCCATGGACGGTGGAGGCTTCTCCTTCTTGGCTTCTAATTCGCACGCCCATGTATGATAATCGGTTACTCTGGCGAACACAGCTTCCACGCTTTCCGCGGACTTTCGCTTCGGAATAGGTTTCTCGTCGCGATATCTACTATCGCCCTCGTCGAAACGATGCTCCTTAATGACCGCACCATTCATTCTGGCGCTTCGCGATTCTTCCTTCTCTTCCTTCTTCTGATTTTTCGGTTTCGTGATAGCTTTGAGTTTCAGTTCCTTCAGTACGAACGACATTTTTTCTTTTACCGTCTCGTCTGGTTGGAAGGCTTCGTCTTCGGGTTCCTCGATCAATACCTCGGTCATTTCCATTTCGGACTCTTTTTGCCTCTCCATCTCCTCGAGTTTTCTTAATTCGTAACAATACCATTCGTCCTCGGAATCGATCGAATCCTCGGTGCTCTGTCGCCTCGAGGACACTCTCGATGTGCTCCTGTACGAATGTGTACTGCGATTATCCTCGTCGGGTTCTCCCGGCCGCGAACCAGTCCATGGAATCTCCAAAGATTGTTGGTGGCGCGGTAGAAACCGTGTACCTCCCGTGCTGCTATAACCCCTCATGCTAGACGCTGACGGACTACCTTCCGACGGTGGAGCTTCCTCCGACAGACTGGTAACAAGTTCCGGCAATTTCGCGTTGCTCGATTTCTCGCTCTTCTCCGATACATCCTCCGGATATTCAAAGCTCGTCTCCAGAATTTGCGCCGGACTTTCCTCGATCCTCTTTTCATTATTAATCTCTTCGCTTGCTGGTTGCTCATCGGATACTGTTGAGGATTGCCGTTGACGATACTTTCCGAGTGCCCGAGACACGGCAAACTCCATGCTAGAGCCACCAATCAGAGTGACAGGAGGCAATTTCGGCGCTTTCTCATTAGGCGCCTCGTCTGAGCTACCCGTTGATCTCTTAATGTCACCGACTGTTTGGAAGATTGATGATCCACCGGATCCTGAGCCGGTACTCTTTCCCGAAGCTTCCTCCTCGAGCATGCCCAACTGCTCGTTTATATCATGCTCGTTAACTTCGTTCTTTCTCTGGTCCTTTTCCTTGGTCCATGTATCTTGAAGAGCTTGTTGATGTAATTGTTCTTGATGTTGTTGAATTTGTTGTTGAAGCGCTTGATGCTGCTGCTGGAGTGTTTGCTGCTGCTGAAGCGTTTGCTGTTGCTGAAGTGCTTGCTGCTGATGAAGCATTTGCTGCTGTTGATAAATCTGCTGCTGCTGCTGAAGCACTTGATGCTGCTGCTGTTGTATATAATCTTTTTGCTGCGTTTGAATCTGCTGTTGCTGCGCGATCATCTGCTGTTGTGCCATCATCTGTTGCTGTGACGTCATCATCTGCTGTGGCGGCGGTTGCTTCCTTTTTATACTAGCAGTTTTTACTTTGGCAAAGAAAGGTGGTTCTGGCGCGATGTCAGATATGACGCTATCTTCGTCTTCTGACAGACCGCTCTGTCTACCACTGCTCCATTCGGTTTCGGACTGCTCCGGATCGGATAAAGATTGCGACTGATGGCTGCGACGTTTGGCCTTCTGAAGGATACCGGAGACCGTGGAAACCAGTGTGTGCTTTTTCTTTTTCCTGGCAGTTTGACTTCTACCCCGACCTCTGCCTATCATCTCTGCAGGCAATCTTTGCTGTTGAGCGTCTTGAGGCATGTCCAGATCCTCTCTTCTGACTCCGCCCGGTAACGATTGACTTCTGTGACGTTTACTGAGATGCAAATCGGGTAACCAATTACTCATAGAACTCATTGCATTCTTCAACGAAGAGCCTCTTCTAATCTTTTTCGCCAACTTGCTATTATCGACCTCGTGATCTTTTAAATTCGTAGCGATGCTGATGTATCCGGATTGCGAGACTATCACACTCGAGGCGTCGTAATATTCGCTCTGTTGTGCCTGTTGTTGTTCCATCCTTCCGCTGTCGTGATCTTGAATATATTGATGTTCTCTCTGCCATTGTCTTTGATAACCATCCGCGAGCTGTGCGCTCTCGGCATTACTCAATCGTTGACTATAAGACTGATATTGTTGTTGATAAGCTTGTGAATAGTTCTGATTCGCGTAAGTATGATGCTGCTGATATGCCGTATGCGCCTGATAGGCCGGTGGCTGGGGATACCTACGGTCCGTATACGGGCTCTGAGAATAGCTACCGTCCGAAGTTAAGGATCTAATGCTGGAAGACGTCGAATCGTGAGGTATCTGTTCTTCCATTGAATTCAGCCACGATGTGCTCTCATTGATCTCCGTTCGTGGCAGATTAGTCGCACTGGTCGGATAGTACGAGAGCGCATCGGTGATGTTACCAGTGGGAAACATCGTGCGATACATTGCCGCCTTGTATCCTTCGTGATTCGTCATGCCTTCTGTAAATGAACTTCCACGCAACGGTTTCTTTGCGTGAATAATTGTAGCGCTCGTCGTCTCTGCATATTGAAGAGCACCGTAATCTTGATAGTTGTTATACTGATGCTCCATCGACTCAGAAGAAGAGTAATAAGCCGAGGTAGTTGTTTTTGGCCCATAGGAACCGGAACCGCTAGTATATACGCTTGTGATAACCTGCTGCCGATTACTACCAGCCACGGAATAAATAGCCGGTTGTTCCGATCTGTAGATGTAATCTGTACTTGTACCAGAAGGCATCGAGCCGTAAGCATGCTGGAGACTCTGCTGACGACTGCGTTTCTTGGGACTCTGACAGGTAGTGGTTACACCCGGAGCTGGCGGTGGTACAAATGAATAATCTTCTTTAGCCGGCGACTTGCTGGCGGTGGTATATGATAAGTGATTCATCGTTGTTGTGTAAGGTGGATGACCGGCTGTGGTCGTTAAAGTGCTCGTAAACGCATCTCTACCTTCGGGAGTATCATAGAGAGGTTCCTGCGTAATAGTGACGGCACTGGTCGTCTCGGGAAGCGGCGGTATTGGACTGGAAATTCTAGCGGGTTGCGTGCTGGATACGAGATTACTTGCACGAGTGTGATCTACCGAATAGGAAGTCAACATCTTAGTGATGGAACTTTTCGGGGAACTCGGTGACTTATCTAAGCTGCTCCAACCGCTCATGGATGATAAACCGGAGTCGGATTTTGCCGTTACTATATTGGCGGCGCTAACGGATTTAACCGCGTGTTTCGGCGAAACTCTCGGTGACTTGGGCGAATGAGGAGTGCGGGGACTGAGACGACCTTGCTCCATGGAGACTAGTTTCTCCGCGTTTCGTAAGAAACTCGGACTTTGAGATCTCTTCGCATCTGGCTCTCTCTGATCCGCGCCAGGCATGAGGAAGGATTCGGTCGTGTCTCGTGGCGCCGGTGGAGGGGGCGAGCTAGGCGACGGACTAGGTGGCGTCCGGCTCTCTTGGAATTCAAGATTAAGCCGAGCCGCGCTACCAAAATAGCCATCTTGTCTGGTGCGGAGACCTTGAACGCTGTGAACGCTTTGCACGCTACTGGCTGACAAGGTAGGTGATGGTACCTTGTCGGTGGTTGTACTATAAATATTGGGTGAAGCGCAAGTGACAGCGGCGAAGCTTTCGGCCATCAGATCTGTCAGCTCCTTATTCTCCGCATATCCTTTCGCGAAATTACCGACATCGATCGGCAATTGAATCACGGGCTCTGGGCTCTTCTCCAGTATGGCCGACGTATAACCTAATCTAGGCGGAGTATAGGTAGTCGAAATGGAGTCTAAGTTGCTCCTGGACGTAGAAGTCAGTCTTGGCGATATAGATCTCGTTGTAAAGTCGCCGTCAGTAGCCAATCCGCTATCGGTACTGACTCTGGAAATTGATCTGCCGCCGGTAGAGCCGGGACTTTTGGAAAAAGTCCAGCTGTCGACGTCAGTCTCCGCGTAAATCTTTCTCAATTGCTCATCTATACTACTTGCTTCCTCAGCCAGTTTTGCCTCGGCTTCGGACGAATACTGGTTTCGTTTCGGTGAATCTATTAGTCTCGATTGCAATTCTATCAGATTTTGTGAATCCTTCTGCAGCTTACTGGTTAATCTATCTATCTCGTGCAATTTCTCTAACGCCACCTGATCGAGAGAACTGAGTCTAGAAAGCTGTGCGAGATCTTGCTCACTGATGCATGGTGTATTCCCTCGGTAGCTCTTGTAATCGGCTGCACTAAATACCTCGCCTTCATCCTCGTCTGCTTCATCTTGCTTCTTCATTATAGAGGTTTGTACTTCCTCCTTGGTCGGCTGACTAGACAGTTCCTCTAGTTCTTTCTCCTTTGGAATCGCCTTATCGAAAATGCTAGGCTCCACTTCCTTTTTACCGTTTATATCTTCGTCTTCAGCCTCCTCCCAGATCATACCCAGCTGCGACGTCGGTCTTGATGTGTCGCCACAAATCAAATCTTCTCTATAAGCGTTGTTCAGACTTCTGTAGAATGCTTCATCGGGTATGTTGCCCTCTTCCTCGAGGGTCTCCAAGGTATCGAGATTTCTGACATTTCTATGCATGTCGGTGACTACAGTCGCAGCCGTTGTACTATCTTGCGTAAGCCCATGCATCCTTGCTAATTCCTGTTGAGCCAATTTTTCCCGTAGCACGGTAGTATCCTCGATATCTATCGCCGCACTTAGGCTCTTTGCGATCGCATCAAGTTCACCCACCGAGCCCTGCTGATTAGCTAAAGTTTCCTCAATGATGTTTACATTGTCGTGAGTGCCACCACTGGTATAAAACTCGATCAACTGGCTGATCACAGTTTGCTGTTCGTACAGCAAGCCCTCCAACTTTTCTAATCTTTCCCACATTTTGATATATTCCTGACTGAGGAGATCCAATGCTCTCCATGCGTACTTCAGCTCGGTCTCGAGAATATTCAGTCTCGTACCCAGTCTCTCCATATAATCACCTATGATGTAATCAATATTACCTTCGCCAGACGTTGGGTAACTCGGCAGAACTGGCGAGTGAGTCGGACTAGCCGGCGTCGGACCGCCCAATTTTGTCGAATCCATTTTCCAGCTTTGTTGAACGCGCTACGCGTCGTAACTGCTTTATTGTTTTCTTTTTAGATTTATTTTTGTTATGCGCCTACGTTTCTATCTGACGATCCCTGAGGCGATTCATCGTATGTCGAGGTTCGCTTCTAAATCAAGTCACATCCCCTCTTGTGGACCAAGAAGGAACATGAATTGTAGCTTGGCGAACCTCATGGAGGCCATTGGTGTAGTCGAATTTTTGGTCGTTGCGTCACGTTCCATGATAATCTCCATGTTGACTTGTTTCAAATTTTCACATTTCACACAGAGTCTAACTATGTTCTACGATTTCTTGATCACTTTTACGTCTACATGTATATCGAATGTTTCTCTTCAGCTTCCGTTCTACAGGCTACACCAAGCTTGGAAGTGCGATCTTGATAGAAGATTTGAGATCGCGCGACACTTTGCGCTGCAAATGGCACTTTGTAACCAATCTCCTACGTTCATGCCGCCGTTGCTATCTGAAAAATAGGAAAAACCAACGTGTGGCTTGGTACAAGGATAACCGAGTACCAAATCCACGCCGATACAGCTTCCATGGTGTTTTCTCAATATATACCAAAGATATCATATGATCGAGATAAAGTTAGAAATATGTTTAGGCATTTTGCGTACATCCACAAGACAAAGAAGATTTGCAAAAATATTGTGTATAATCTATATATATATATGTATATATATATATAGTATTATTAAAATATAATATCATAATGTAATTTATATAAGCGTGTCAGTTAGGTGCGCTAGAAATGATAAATTTTGTTATCAAAATTTCTGTTTAATTATGTCTCATTACGTTCTCAATCTAAATTTGATGGCGTCGAACAAGCAAAATTCTATTTTGAAATAAAATCCCTAAATCAATCCCATATAATAAAATCCCATCAAATATACTGTGCTATTTAAATATTACATCGCGTGATAAAATCGATTAATTATATAATTTATGACAATAAAAGATTTAAAAACGGCATTTCTATCACACGTTAGGTGCGCTAGAAATGATAAATTTTGTTATCAAAATTTCTGTTTAATTATGTCTCATTACGTTCTCAATCTAAATTTGATGGCGTCGAACAAGCAAAATTCTATTTTGAAATAAAATCCCTAAATCAATCCCGTATAATAAAATCCCATCAAATATACTGTGCTATTTAAATATTACATCGCGTGATAAAATCGATTAATTATATAATTTATGACAATAAAAGATTTAAAAACGGCATTTCTATCACACGTCGCGCTTATTGATTTAACGCCCGGCGCGATTCTATCCAATGTTTTATCGTAGGATTAACCTCGCATATCTCTTCGAATGATCAAAATAACCATCACGACCTGAAAACCTACGGTCGATCGTATCTATATCCTGGATCCTCGACAAACTGTCGACGAGTCTATCTTTTATCTCTGTTATTGCCATCTTGCACGTATATCGATATGCCTAACTCTATTGCTACGATTTACCTCCGACGATGCAGTATAAAATTTTGCTCTTTATGTTTGGCAATTAAGTTACTATCGTTTCGTAATAATAAGAAAACTTAAAGTCGCTTAAAGTTAGCTTAAAATAAGCGCGCAATCTCGAAAATCGTTAACCTAATTTCGCTTGAATTATGAACAGCATTAATAAAAGAAGAGTTATAATTATAATTGTTGACTTTACGGCACGTGACAAGATTATGTTATTTGATATAAAAACTGATATCTCTCATCGATATATACATTATTTATTATATCGTTGTGCTATTTTAATATATATCAAGTTTAAGGGAAAAAAATAATAATTTATAACACTATGTTTTATAAATTTTTTAAATTTTTACTCTTTAATTCAGGAATATTAATATTTATTCGATGCATATCGACAAATATTGTAAAATAAAATCATACGCTAACATAATGTATTCAGAATATCAGATGAGATGCTTAATCTTTTTGGCTTATATATGTATAAATTATTTCGTTCTCAAGATCTTAACAGCGGGTGGCTTGTTATTTATGATCGTATATCAGGTGAGACATGCGTTTATCATTCGTGCTCCTTTCATATTTTATACTCGGAATTCAGCTCCGTCGTGCTGCTTGCTTTTTCAGCGGCTTCCTTCCGGTTAAGCGAGCTGTCGCAAACCGCACAGAAAAGAATACCCTCGCGACGATATTGCGCCAGATACACAGCGGGCAGATTCTTTGCCGGGTCAAAATGGGCATTCGCGAGTTGCATCACAAAAGAGACGAACGGTTATACGCCATTGCTAAGATTCAACTCGCGGAAGATTCCTCTTTCGCTTGCAAATATTTTCCCTCGGCGCGCCTCTTGGAGTGTCGGCAAACAGGAAACAAGGTTACTCTATTGTTCCGCGTTTTAATATAATGCGCTCTTATAACACGTCCGTATTCGCACATGCTTTAACTATGTATAACAGCATAGGTGTTATAAAATTATCGTCGTTAAATCACACAATTAACAGCTATTAATATACAAAGGTTATTTAGGTGCCACAGACGACGTTTTTTACGTGCTCAGTTATTTTTATTGGTCGTCGATCTACATCTTTCCGATTGCAGACGACTAACGTCACGTAAACGCAGTAAAGCCGAATGATTATCGATCTACTGTCTACTATGTATCAACTGGAATGTTTATTTGTGCTATATCCGTGTCATAGCACGATTACCATTCATGCGGTATAGGGCGGTTCACTTCTCGCGTGAGCTTTATATTTTTCATGTCACAAGGCGGTCATTACTGACACGATAAGTATCATTCCATACTAGACTCATCGGTGGCAAAGCCAGTTTTCCTTCGGTTCTTTCTATATCTCCGTAAATGTGAATGAAAAGCAACGCCGTAATAAAGTGGATCTCCGGACATATCTTCGCCTGTTTCAGATTTTACTTTAAACCAACTTAAGCCCGCCGGTAGTTAATTCAATTAAGAACGGAAGTCCGGCGGATTGGAGATGGAGAATCCGTCGGATATCGAGTATTTCGACGCAACAAGTCAAAACATATGTCGAATATCATGCCTGTTGAATAGATTTCATTTGCCAAATCATCCCAAGATGTATAAGATTGTTCTCTTACCGGAGAAATCTGAATGTCTTTGCGAAATTAATTAATTCATTAATTCGAATTAAATTGATACATTTCTCTCGTACATGATTGAATTTAAACGATCGTTTAAAGCTTCATGGAGATTTTTGTTTTCAAAAGGAATTTCGATGAGGCCGCAGAAATAAAATATCAACTAATGTGGTGAGATAAAATTTATTATACTTTACACGTAGAAAGAATATTCGTTGGTCCATGGAACATTTGGAATTTTTTGGAGCATCTAATGTTTTGTTTTGAGTTTGCCTTATCCCATAAATCTCGCACGAAAAAACCTTGCGCGCTTTTTTACATAAAACGCTTTTTACATGGAAAAAAGTTAAAAAATTAGAATTATGCTTTAGAATGTAATGATTTATTTATTCAACATAATAATTAAGTAACGAGCACTAAGAGCCCAACAAACGCTGATTTATTTATTCTTTCACAATACACGATATCGTAAATAATATTTCAAATAATTTGTAGAAATGCATACTTATATGCGCGACATGAGCTTACGTTTAACGGAAAATAACATAAAATACTTTTTGCCAGACCAGGTGAAACATCTCGTTAGAGAAAAACTTTCGTCCGGCCGCTTCTGGAAAGCGTGAAAGACGGTAATCTTGTTAAAAGGGGCTGAGATTAATTCAGAACGCGTCACGTATAACGAAAAATAGGACAGCCTTGCGGGATTTTGCAATTTACCACTAGAAATTTTCTTATGTGTACACGTGTTTATAGAGGAAAATTTTCCTTTGACGCTGGTCAAGAGGAAGTGAAAAACAGATAGGAAAAGAAAGAGAGAGAAGGAGAGCGCTTAAGGATAAGAAAAAAATTGTTTAATTATTATTACTTGAAAATTTAATTATTATTTGTTGTAGAAGTTTGGAAAGTTGCTATCTCGATGTATATTGTTTAATACGCTCATAAATTTTAATTTTCAATTTAGTCGCGATACAGTTATTAAGATGGTTTCCAATTAATGGAGTTTCTCTCACGAGATTTCTATGGAAAAGATATAAATTTTTCTTTTTTAATTTCGAGATTGCAAAAGAAAAAAAGATAAATTCGCTCTCTTTAATATTTGCGGATTATATCCAGAAGCGTTTGTATATTTTCTATTAAATCACCTTCTGCATTATCGCAATATCGTAAGCGTCTTATTAAGATAATGGCAATATTAACCATTAATTAAATATTAATCATTTCATACAACGTGGGAAAATTGTATATTTCTTTCTTTATTAAAGTTTTATCTCTAAACAAATGTTTCATTTTGCTGATAGTCACGACAATAATATTGTTTTTACTTGGACCTACAAACTTTCGTATCTTTTTATCTATTCCTAAGACGTATATATGTAGGTCAAAGATTGTGTGTTAGAAATGGAATACTAACCTTATTTTCGACTGAGAGAAAATTGTTTTCCCACTGATAAAAGGTCAACAACGAGATTTATAAACGCGATGTCGCAAAAGTTAATTTTTAGAGATAATGCATCGCGCATAGAAAGTTCATCAGGAAGCGTCAAGCAACAGGTCTCTCTCTCGCTGTTAGTATTATTAATTGTTGTTAAGACCATTCTTACACGGCAGAAACTGTGCGGTAATCTCGCTTTAAGATGAAAGAATTAATTCGTATTATTATTTCGCCAAAGAATGAAAGAATTAATTTGTATTATTATTTCGCCAAAGCTAACATTGCGATTAAACTGTCACTATCATTTGTTCATAAATTTTTAATCAACAAAAGCATAATCACATAAATTACTTTTCAAAATGGTGATGACAATGAAAACGCAATCTCAATATAACGAGTCATTTAACATAATCCAAAATGTAATGAGCATTATAAAATTAATCATGCTTATTGCCATTCATCTATACAATATTTAACGAGCCAATGGAAATTTCATTCCAATATTCTATTTACTATAATACCATAGCGGACTTTCGCAAAATGAATTTAATTATATATCAAAATTGTATATGGAACATAAAATATTATATATTGACGCATATATTTTCATAATATTGCACAATTTAAATAAAATTATAAAATTCTTTATATATATATATGCAATATATTAATTGTTTATATTTATTTATAATATATTTAATATGTATAAATTATTAATACATGTAATTTATATATATATATATTTATTTATTATGTATATTTTTCATATTATATATAAAATTCTGCGCACAAGTGATAAAATATTTCTTATTAATAAATTATAAAACATTTCTTTATAATATTATTTCATAAATAATTATAAATATTTCTTCTATTAATTGTTTACGGGCTCGCTCGTATTGTCAGGCGATAGGACAAGATGCGTTTTCGTAATGTACATACAATATATCGTGGTTATCTGGTAATTTAGTTTGTATATCCCCGATAAACCGCATCGTGTTGTGGAAGAGGCATTATGCTCTTGGAAACAACTCGCAGCGGTTTCGCTGCAATATATATGTATATCGATATCGTATCGCGTTCTTAATCAAAGTTTATATACATATAAGTGATGTACGATCGT